CACTAGATGTCCACACGACGTTTTGTGAATTGTTTTCGGTCCCGTGCAGTTGGGTGCTTTCCATTCCAATCCTTATATCAAACATCAAATGTCCTTGGGGTAGTGTACGTGTTGTTTCTGGAACTAGTCTTTTGTAGCTATTGCTTTCACTTGTTACTAGGCCGCATCACTTGAGATGCTTTATATCAATTATAGGTTTTGGTGGCCCATTGATCTGACTCCATTTAGATTGTACGAATAATTGTATGGATGTTTGCTATCGCCTTTTCTCGTATGTCATCGTCGACTTGAATCGCGTTATCCAATAACGGAATTAAATAAGTCAAATAACGAGAATTGACTTGAGAATACACATATTTCGTACATCAAGTGAATGAAGCATAGCAAAGCAAAAATGACGCGTATGGAAGATGGCTGGGAAGCCAACTCCATTTTAGTCAAGCGTTACTCAATATTTATAGTCAGACAAAATAAAACTACAGACATGTGATTAATAGGATAAGAAGGGCACACATATATACGCTCATATAAAAACAGTCTAGATTGGTAAGCGAATAAATAACAAGGTCAATGTATGGCTCAGGTAAAATGAATAGAATGGGATGTCCGAAAGCTAGAATAACGTATGTGGGCTTAACATAATAACTGACACTACAGGTACCTTACTGTTACAACTTTTGTACTGTTAACAGTACAATATTAGTACCATATTGAAATGTTATCAGCATAAATCCCTCTCAATAACTAAAATGATTTTGTTGTAATACTCTCTTACGGTATAACCCGGCTATTCCTATTGCTTAGTAGTCTTGGACACCAATTCACTCGACAAGTCCCCAAATCAGAACACGGTTGAACAGGAGAGAGATTATATTCCAAATAACAAGGTTAGATGGAAGCAAGTCGCAAGTAAGAAGCACAATAGGGAAAACGCCAGTATATTTATAGTTTTTACACGAGAAGATTTCTAGGTTGTTCTCCAAGTATCGACTAGCGCTGATTGGATAATAATTAGCCAATCAGCGTGCACCAAAGCAGTCGTGCGTTGACCATGCTTTAATCCGATCTGTGTCCCGCTAACAAATTTCAAATGCCCTTTTGTGATATCTTGGTACTTCCCCCTTTATGTTTGAAAAGTAAATGTAGTTTGGAAACACGACTTGTTTGTGTGACTAAATAGTAACGGAAACTCAGTCATAAATTATATCCGTTTTTATTAGTTACCTTAATTGTTTCGTGTGACTTGAAATTCTCATAGTCCTCCCAACCTAAGGTTTATTAAAGCTATTGATTGCTAAAATACTGTTACTTGTAAGTCCACCTTGCTTATTTAATTTGTCAGTTGTTATCATCACTTTTCATCGTTTTAATTAGTCAATTCATAAGATAGGCCGAACTGAACTGCATATGAAAAACGGATGATGAGAATAAATAGATCTACAAATCATATTAACACATTCTGTTGAAGTAGATTTCCTCGCTTATGGTTTCATAACTTGATTGAAATAAGGAGATTCAACTGATAATTTCAAATATGCTCTTCACATTTTTTCAGTTTTGTGTTATCGGAACTCCTGGTCAGAGAGGTCCACAAGTCAGTTTGATAGTAAATGGTCGTCTTGTAGAGTTGAAGACTGGTGAGTGTCGTGAATCATGTCGTATAGCTGTTACTGGAAACTTGTTTATGGATGTTCAAGATGCTAGTCGTGTAAGCTTTCTTGACACGCTGGAAGGGAATTATGGAGAAAGTAACTGTGACAAAGAAAATTTGATCAACGGTTGGCGTCAAAGCCGTATGTCTATTCTAGAGCGAGCTGATTGGGTAGTCCCTGCTTATGGTCCTCCCTTCAAGGTAAATAAAGGTTATTTTCTCAAAATATTTGTCACAGTATGTTTAAAGCTGCTGATGCAGTTGATATATTTCCAATTTCTCCCCTCTCATGTAACCTGTTTACCATATACTGATCCTTGTACTTGGTTTGTAGCCACACACTAAGTGTGAAGTTTAGTGATACTAGACCGTTTTACAATCGCGGGATTAGGTGAAGCGGGGTTCGAAACAGTGACTCACTGACTGGAAGTTGAACGCCTTAATCACTTAACCATTGCTCCACAAAATACACCCAGTTTCTATAAGCTATTCTATCTAACAGGTTGTTGTAGAGTAATCGATGATTACCGTCCTAATAATTGTAGCAATTTTAGTCTTATGCTTACTTTTATCATATCTATTTAAATTAGGTTTCATTAACCTTCTGGTTAAATAGCTATTCAAAGTACCTACGAAACTCCAATATTGGTATGGCACTAGCTAGTAATTATAGTCATCATATATCTGTATAGATTTATAAATGCTTCTGAATTTCGGTTGCCAGTAATATGGTGCATTTACCTGTAAGCTGCATTTTTGTCGTCTGAGTGTTGAATCAAGTGCCGAAGTAAGATATGTAAAATCAGTTCCAAAATGACATCTCATTGTGCTGAATTCTTTGTGGATTATCACTAGCTCTGGTGGTCCGATGAAGTTGCCCATACTAATGCGGAAATGTGAATACTATTTATGAATTTAGGTGTATGCATTTGAATTGTTCCATCTGTATTTATGTGGATGGTTACCGAAATAGTTAAAAAGTAGCGTTGTGGTTTCTTTGATGCTGATGATCGTATTAAGTAAGTAAGTTGATAAAGAGTAGTGCAGAACATGTCCCAAAACCGGTCTAAATAACGACAGTGTCGAGACGTGAGCATATTAGAAATATATAACACAAACGTATTGAGTAAACTGATTTGTTGCATTGTTTCTCTATTTATTCAATCAAACATACAATTGTTGTTTGTTTGTTTTCCAGGTTAAACCGGAATATTCTTCAACACCATGCGTTGAACTTGCGTAGTGATCTTACATTTTTGTCCGCATTTTGAACAAAAATACAATATCATTATGGAATAGATCAATTATCATATTATCATAAAAATAAACCTAATTCACTTTCAGTGAAAGTACAAATCTGTTTGGCGAAAATACAAAACTTCTTGGATTGTTACATTTCCATTTGTATCAGTAGCAAGTTGTGTTATATAAATGATTTTTTTCTAATTTTACTCTTCTTTTCCCTGATATTTGTATGAAGTTTATGCTACTCGATAACATCTCTGTTTAGTTGTTTGTCAACTTGGGATTTTTTTGTTCATGTAAGTATTATAGCTGTTTGTTAGGTTTCTCTGCCTTATAACTTCGGTAGGTACTCTCCTATTGTGTCAAACTGTCTAAATTCTGCTATATTTGTTAAGTAGGACATTTTTTAAATTAGCCGTCTTGCAAAACGTGTAACTCAACTATTCAACCTCTGTTGATTTGGATATAGTTACACATTTTATGTAAAAGCTATAGAATATTGTTTCCATGTCTAAGAAAGTCCATATGTATGTCAGCCCACTACGTTATCTTTAGTGTACTTTCATCTTCACTTCGACTTATAATTTTTTTTAACAATCACAGAATTTAAGAGACACTGGTCGTGTATGTTTAATTGCAAATTAGTAAAAATCTTTTACCATTGCTAAGGCACTAGCTATTCTGTTCTGGTTATTATTTTATAATCAATACTTACGAGATAAAGTAATTGCTTAATGTATAAAGTTGTTCTGTTTCACAGTTACTGGGTTATAAGTTTGAAGGCATCTTCATTTCGGTTTAAACGACTGGTTATCACTAGCCAGTAATGTAGTTCAAGGCTTGCAATATACGAATGTATGTTCTTCGTAGATGTGTTGCATCAGAAGTGATTTGGAAGATACCAATTTACATTTAGTGATATGTTTAGTAATAAAGATAATAATACTTTTTTCTTCAAGTGACATTTCTTATATAAATTGCACTAATTCGGAATAAATAAATAAATGCAACTTTAACCTAATAAAAATCCAAGTATCTACACATGAATCACATTTATCATTGAATCCCTTAACTCCTAGGCAGAGTTTAAATGGTTTTTTTCTGTTTAACGTTTTTAGCAAGGTTTTCTATGGGATAGAGTTGCCGACTCTATGGACAGCCTTACTCCTTTATCCGGGATTGCGACAGGTAGTAACCCTAAATGGGTTCTAGTAAGAGTTTATTGTTAAGTTGCCCCCAAATACCGAGAGTGGGAAGAGTCAGCTCTCCCTCTCGAAATGTTCTCACATGACCACGTGCATACAACCACTGCCAGCGAAGTCCTACTCACTGCCTTCTCGTGGCGCATATATATTTGGCGCACTCTTGTACCAATATTTAAGTGTTCAAATAAAATAAAATAAGTCTCGTGACGTGGGTGTTGTTTACGAAACTGAGAGGCCGAAAAGCGAATTTCCGGCACATTAACCGGGTTGATGGATACGGAGGATCTACCTAGGGGAGTTGGGAAACCCTGACTCCCAACCAATGGTGCATATGGGTTCCAGGATCCTAAGGAAACAAATGTCGTATGAACCAATTGTTGGTCATCGAGTACTATGGACTGCATCTCCTGGCGTTGCTCCACTGTCTTGTGGATCAGACCTTTAGGTCGAAGGCTTGGGTGTGGCCCCCTAAAAAAGCCACCTGTTTCGGTTTGGGCGTCTGATCAGTAATCCAGCCCTCATACAAATCGAATCGTTTGTGTAGTGCATAATATTTGGTTCCTCGTTGTACGAGTGTTTATGTGTTTAAATAAATAAGAAATATTGTTAAGTTACATAATCTAAAATGGATTAAATGTTTATGTGAAAAGTTTAATGGTTGAGAAATGAATGCCGATGTCATTAAGATAAATTCACATCACATCAAATGTTTAGTTGAATCATTCATTTGTATTGTGTATAATCAGAATGAACAAGCCCTTTCACTTATTGGTGTAGATATATGTTGTTTATTACATTCGAGTTTAATACTCTACGATTTCCTTCACTAAATGGTAGAGTATATGTGCTGTTCAGATTTGACCGTGTCAGGTCAGGCTATTAATTTCATAAGTTTCGCAATGGTTGGTTATGTAAGCGGTACTACTATTAAATTTGTTTGGTGTAGATGACATCAGTGCTCTGATGCGTTTCTGCTTTTATATCACAGTTTGTTCATTTAAAATAGATTTGGCGAACTATGTAAATAGTTTAAAAAATCTGGAAGTGCGCATTGTGAATTAAAGGCTGAAACGGTCCGTCAACCGAAAGATTATACAGTATCTTAGATCTCTGTTATGAACATCGTTTAAAACTACTTTATTAGTATGAATTAAAGTTAGTCAGTGTGTATTTTCCCGTAAAATAGTATAATATCAATAAGTTTACTTCGTATAAAATGATTACGAATTCCTATTTTATATGACTGTTACCGAACATGTGACATTAGTATTTTGTTTGCAATACAAGTTAGTCACAGGGCTATAAGACAACAGAAACATGAACTCGAAAAAAATAGGAAGGTTATGAATCCTTCCGGTTAGTTGCTGTTTTATACAAAAATTTGAGACTAAATTGATGTAGTCATCATGATATCGTGCTACAGTCATTTCTGTTTAGTCCCATTTAAAATTAACTAATCGGCAATGGAAATTTCAATACTCCAACCATATATATATAAGATTTCTCTATTGTCCCATGAGTTTATTAATGATAGAAATAATAAGTCTAAGCATGTAGAAAATTACGATATAATGGGAAACCGAATAACAGATTTGTAACTAATTAATTTTTATGTTAAGTGTTAATGTAGGGATAAGCCACTTAAGATCGAGAGCGCTGTTACAAGGCTTTTGGGCAAAACTTAAAAATGGATGACTTTTACTGGTAAGAACATGGGCTTAAAATAACCAAACAACTTTCAACTGGTCCTTAACCAATCAGGAAATAGCTTATGCAATTGAATGGTTTGGGGAAAACAAAAGAACAATATTGCAAAACATAAGCAAATTATACATAAATACTGAGTTTAATAAAGTTATCCAAAGGTTGTCTGTAAATTGAGAAGATAAAGTCACAAATTCGTCAGTATGTGTGTAGGATATCCGTCTTCTATAAACCTCACAAGGACGCAAAAAGATCTTTAAGAGTCCTCATATTATCTATGGTTAGAGTTATATATTCAGAACCGGAGACTTAAGTTCAGTTCGGAAAATGTAGTTGAATTTAGGAACTGAACTTATATGGAGTATAAGATAAAAGTCATTTTCGGATTTTGCGCAAATCTTAACAGTTTTCCCGATTTTGATTGACTCTTCCGTATGTTATACTTTTACCATATACTCTTGCCAATATTAATTTACGAAAGACAAATTGTATATCAAAAATTAACGTCCTGAATAAAAGCTTACAATTAAGGGTACACAAAGAATACCTTAAAGCAGTTAATAAGCACACACCAAAAATTCAGATGCTGAAGCATCAGAGAATAGCTTGCCAAGTTCCTCAATTTCACCTGTTCTTGTACTGGCAGATTCGTTTATTCACAAAGGCAGTCAAAGTCATCTAACCATAAGCTTCAATTCAAATTAGTTTTGGGTTAATTAAAAATTTTAACTGAGTAGAATGTGTTATATCTTCTGTTATGTGGCAGCACTTAGCCATTTGTTTGAAAATAATAGCTAACTATGCGAATCATCGAAACTAACTACTCTTATCACATGTCTTGTCTTCCAGACAGGATTTTCGCGATTCATACCATAAAAATGAAAAAAGGATAATGTTCGTTCAGTCTTCAATGTGTGCTAGTAAAACGAAATCTGAAACGGTTAATTAATTCATTCAAAATTATCTTGACCCTTCCCCCTTCTATGAAAGCCAAAATTATCCTGTCATATAAATAACAATCTAGTGAGTACTAGTCAACTTTGATGAAATAGGAATAATGGATGATTGACAAAGTCATGTGTTGGAGTAGTATTTTTCCTATGATGTTAGTTTTCTTACTTAAAACCTATTAAAAATAGATAATAAATCCAGATTACTGATTTTGATCTGGTAACTATAAAACTGATTATATTATATTGAGTAACCTTTTTTTCTCTCAATTAGATTCATATATATCTGGACATATTTAGTCGAGATTGTTCAAATTAACCTTGTTGACTAAAATGTATACTCTTCAGTTATCCACGTATGAATAAGTTAAAAATGTCGTATATTTATGAGAACCATTTTTATAGCATATACTTTTATTCAATTAGTTCTTATTTAATCATGTTATCTACTTAGTTCACCCAATTTCGGTACATAAGGAAAAGTTCTCTTTGCAAAAAACGAGGTACCCCAACCGTTGTATATGCAGAAAAACTCTTCTTATTGTGGACCATCTTCATAAATGCTTCATCTTGTTTTCATATTCTTGAGCAGAGTTCAACTGCTGATCTATTTCAATAAGAACCTCACTTTATCGATTTGGACCACACGTGATCTGTTTCGTTTTAACCAGCCAAGTATTATAATTTGTCTTATACATAAAAAAGCAAGTGGCTGAAAACTGAGTACATAGACTTAAATGCATTTGATTATTACATGAGATTTATTGTGTAAATATATATTATCGAGATCATTACCAAGGTTTGAAATAATAATGTCAAATAGATTGAGTATTGGGTTGATTGTTACTTACTTACTTACGCCTGTTACTCCCAATGGAGCATATACCGCCAACTAGCATTCTCCAACCCACTAATAACCTACTAATATATTTGTAATATCCCAATGAGCAGAAAAATCAGATTTCCTGACGTTTCTTTACTCATTCTTAGCCAATTTTTCAGAGGATAAACAAATTAAAGTAACCCAAGTTTAAATAATAAAAAGGCACAAAGCAAAAATACTTATTACGATCAATCTGAAAAAATGTCATTCCAGTCAATGCGATTTTTATGAGATTTACTTGTGTATTTTTGTGTGTTAATAAGTGAAAAATATGACATTTGTAATTTAAAATGATAGAGTGACATTTGTATGTTTGGTAATCGTTTGAGATTGTAGCTCGAATAGATGGTCCAAATCAGTAGGATAGTAAGTCCTTCAGTAGAACCTCCTCCACGACAAAAGAACCCTTTCACGGTGTGGGCAACCGGGAAATGATAACTGCCCTCATACCTCTAATAACACTCAAGATCACTGTATTCATAATCAATCTCCCTCTTCTTTCCTATTGAGGACAGTAGGATTTAGTAATATATGGAATGTTTCATCTATTCGCATTTCTTTGTAGTTGGAAAATTCTTTTTGTATTATTTTGTTATATTATCCAAGAATACTTTTACTAACACATTTTATTCACTTCTTCTGAACTTATTATCTCCTTAAACTACTTATATACATATTTAAAATATAAATTCTTGCTTTTATTTTAATCATTCACAATAGGCTAATAGATTACGTCAACATTTCACTCATCAATTTTCGTGTAGTTTAAAGAAACCTATACCTAATTTATATTCAAGATATCTATATCAGTACAAATTAAAAAAACAAAATAAACTATTAACCGCTGCAGCTATTGATGCATGTAATTTAAAGTAAGTTCATTATCTTTTTTTTATCAAATTCAATTGTTTCATTTTCTAATTTATTCTATTTCTACAATTGTCTAAGTCTACTAGCATTATATACACTCTTCTAATATTCTGAAACTGAATTAGGTATTTCATTACGTAAATTATTATTATTATTATCATTGGTGGCTTTATTCAATATTTTATTTTTGGTACAATATAGAATTCTCAGCACAAAGTATTTCAACAAGTTTCCTTTTCTTATTTCTTGATTGACCCTTGTGATAAAGATTGAGTGGTCACTAATTAGACTTTAGCAGTTCAAGAATCGACATCTGATTAATGTATATTTTTTTCGATGCATATTGCCAGCAACCACAATGTCTCTGATTGTGCTCTTTTGTAAGTTGTACAGCAAAATGTAGTAAACTTTCCTTAAACGCACCTGAGTAGGTTATGCGACTAATAGATATAATGATATGTTAAAACAAAAAAGAAAATTGATAACTAGTTAAAATATCCAGATGGTAGGTACAGGTAGCTCAGATATTTAACCAGGCCGCCTTCAAAAGAAGAGATTGAAATTTGTACGTATAGTAATAATGTGAGATGTTAGCTCGAATAGATGTTCCAAATCAGTAGGATAGTAAGCCCTTTTTTCTATTGAGGACAATAGGATTTAGTGATCTATAGAAAGTTTCATATGAGGGTGAGTAGTAAACTTTCATTGATTAGCACGAAAAGATAATATGCATTCAACGTATTAATATGTATATGTTTACTCAGAACGTCCAGTTAAATCTTGGCCAATAACGTGCATCCGTTAGCATCTCTCACCAGTCATTTGTTTTTGACTTGATATGTCTGATTGGTTCAGCGTATCGTAGCTCAAGTGAGGATTCTCATTCATTCAACCTTAAGCTTCAAGTCTGGTGGTACTACCTAGCTTTTTAAACCTATGTTAGAATAATGATGTTTGCATCTATAACTCATGATCTGAAGGACAACAAATAGCGAATGTATCTACTCCATTGTAGCCCATTCTGAGCCATGTCATCCAGTGTCTTGAACCAAAAATATGAAATACCATACCCTGTTCCTTTCTAGTTGGCACACGTCAACGAGGTGTACCTGAAATCTTGAGGGTATTGCTGGCCACATGTGGGATAATCAGAATTAGTGTCACTGGATGCTTCTGCAAAAATTTAATAATCTGTATGTATAGTGTAATTTGTCAGTCAACAGTCATTCGTTTAGATAAAGACCAAAATCTAAATTTGTACTGTTCATTGTATATTTGGTATTTAGTTCCTTATCAACAACAGTCTGATCCGATCTTATTTCCTGATCTTTGTAATGGTAAAAATAACCCGTAAATTGAACGCCTTATCCATGTTAGACAAAACCAGTCTGTCAATACTTAGTTATTTTGGGTTTTATTTAATAAAACTTTTCACTGGTCCAGCTGTTGGATTTTTTATTTGAAGTCATATGTCCTTCCATCATGGGACGGTACAACTATTCGAACAGATAAATAACTTTTGCATTGTAATAGATTTTCTTTACCCTGGAAAGAGATTTCAGCGATGCCTTGAAACCGATTTAATTGTTCGATTAACAAATAACCATATAGTTAGTGACTAAACTTTATGACAGATAAGTTGTAGTGGTTGTAGTCGATCGCCATTTGGACCATTCATCTATGATTGTTTGCAACAATTTATTCTATTTTCATATGTCAGTTGTTATTTCTATTAAGTGCTGACACCAGATATAAATAACCATTCTTTTGTATCCAACTAATAGGAGTCTCATTTTCCATAGTGTATTTTAATCATGTTGTTCGTTTTTATCTATTTTGAACAATTGAAGCTTATTATGTTTAGTGGTCATTCTAGTCTGATACTGATATATACGCGAACCCGATTAGCTACTTTATTGAGAAAACCAAGAGTAAGAAGCTACCAAGACATGGCATCAGTCCAGGAGTAAACTCACTATTGGACTGAGGCATGTAGGCAGGTGCAGACTGCGTGGTTAGGGTCAGTGTGATTATCGTAACCGATAGTTGAAAACTTCGAATGACGGCTCAAAATTGTCTTCATTAGTGCGAATACGTCTACTCTACCTTTTCGTGTATCCTAATTTTCTAAATCCTGCATAAATCTTTTTATAATCTCACTAATCTATATTTTCTCAAATTTATCTTGTGTGCTTAGTCTTCTGTCTTGCCATTAATTATTGTTTCTGCCTCTGCTACTCTGTGATTTGCCTTGACAATTTCGTCTCGATGTGCTAATGGAGTATAGCATTTTGAATGGATGTACACATTTTCCAGGTTTTATGTTGCATCTGGTTAAGAAGCGAACTCGAATTTCAATGTATACACAGACATATATATATATATATATATATATATTAAGCCAAATCTTAACTGGTAGCATGAACCCGTTAGCAGCATCTCTCACTTATCATTTGGCCCCGAATCGATGTATCTGACTGATCCAGGCCATCAGTTACAACAAATATATTTGTGTTATGAATTTGCCTTTTATGAGTTGTGACGAAATGTCATTGAGAGATTGTCAAACTAATGGGTAACATGCGCCTAATGATTAATGATATGTAATAATACAATATAGCCGAGTGATGGCTACTTACGCGACTGCATTGTACCAAACACATCATCTAATGAAAATCTACTAGATAGTCAGCTTATCTGGTATCTCTATTTAGTACCTAACTCACTCGATGGTTTCAGTATACGTGAGCAACGCTTCGAGGTCGTTTGCTATCAAATACCAGTTCATATAACAGGATAAAATTGTGACATTATTTCTAATCAGTTGATTTTTGTATCACTTCTGTAAATGTCGTCCAGCGTGACAAGTGCGAACTCTGGTTAAATCTAACGTTATTTCTAGTCAATATTTTCTTTTCAATTCAACATGAACTGCGTTCAATAAAGATGACGTGAACTCTGGTGAAGAGTGGCATTTGCATTGCTCGTGTCAACTCAGGTGTACTATAAGCAGTGTGTTTTTGATAGTAACTTGGTGTATTTTCCCTTGTATTTCATATTATTGTGTGTAAAATTCGGTGCATAAATGAGTGTGTATATGTCTAAGGACGACTTATGTTAGCTATAGGTTTGGGGACGCAATTTTAATGAGTCAATAAGACTTTATTCCCACCAGTCTTTTGTGTTCTAACTTTGGGTCGCGAGAATTACAGTGTTTCACGATTGTCAAGTATTAAAAATAGGACTGGAAATCCAACAGTGGAGATATGGACATAACATGAACAACAACAACAACTATCCAGTACTTCCTAGTTTCCAATGATTGTCTCATTAAAGTAAGTTTACCACGTAATCACTTGAACAATCTCCACAAAGTACGCATCCCAATAGTAAAACTAATGATAATAATAACAGAATCAATCATATAAATTTGAAGCCATGTACAAATAAACCAGATTTATTTCCCGAAGACTAATGATACAGTTTACCAGTTCGAATCTCATTTAATTTGTTTAAACTCAAGTTCATAATTCAATAATTGGCAAATAGACAAAGAAAAACAATCAAATAACATTTACAAACAGTTTAATTTTGCAAATCTGAAGTGTTTTTTTTTTTAAAAAAAAGGAAATTATTATTGTAATAACAAGTTCATCGAAATGACTTTAATTCTTCTGGTAAAATTTTAAAATTCAATCTCTCTAAAAATATTATGTGCTCTATATTATCCTGAAATATATAAATTACCTGAATATATATCTGATGGAATGGACTCATCAAACCAACTAGTTTTTTTAAGGCTGAATGGTAAATCAGAGATACTGATGGGTTCACCCTGTTGTTCAGCGTTTAGATTCATTATCTGAGAGAGTGGAAGACAGGTACACTATTGGTTGGATATCTGTTTTAATTTTCTTAGGGACACATGTCTATGTTAAATGGGTGAGTTTATGTATATGTTTTAATTCGTGTCGACCAATACAAGCTTTTTACTCAGTTGGCTTCGCTTATATATGTCAGTATCAGATTGGGACAATCGCCCAACTTTAATTGAAGGATGTGAAAATAAGTCTATAAGATACAACCATAGGATATGATCCCTTAAAAGAATCATATCTAAGCATTGTGTTACTCTTACTAAAAACTTATACTTGCTGAACACTATATTTATAAATGAGCATATGTCCTTTTCGATATAATAATTCACTTCAAGAAATGTAACTTCTACACCCAACGAATAATCACTTACGGAAGATATTACTAAGCGAATACTTTACATGATAAATTAACTAAATATTTTTTTAAGAAAATGAATACGTTTGACTTATTTGTCCCTCAATTTATGATGTTATTTTCTTCGGGTTATTTAGAAATTATATGTATGTTTGAGCAAGATGCAATACGTGTCCATGACTTTGTAACGCGTCCATTTTTCAAAATGTTCAGTATGTTAGTGGCATCTAGGATCTTGGAACATTTTCCCGTTCATTACTTGGTAGGTGAGCACTGAATATAAGAGCATAATTTCCACTGAGGTTTCTATTTCAAGTTCTAATTTCCAATTTATTTGCTTCTTCCATCCGGAATGTTGGAATGCGCTACAGTAGCGTATTCATAAAAGACATGGCTTCAGATGATTAAATTGAAATCCTCAGTACACTCTTATATACAGCGCTGATACCTAAATTAAAGGAAAAATCCTCAAAAATGCTAGATATTTCACTTTTATTGAGTACTGAAGAAAGGATGGTTAACTTAAATACCGTCTAAGCATGAAAGAGTTGAAGGGGAGATGTTTCCTAATCTTTATTAATTTTTAGATTTATGTTAATTAGTTTTTAGAATTAGCGTTAAATTATCTAATTTCTAAATGTATTATTATCGGTAAACAAAATGAGATACTTTACATTTTTGTAAATAGAAACTCTTACAGTTTCGTGATTGTAGGTTCAAATGAATATATTTTAATTATCAAAATACTTTAACGTAAAGCGTGTAAATATGTTAAAACTTATATTGACCAGTTGCCTAATAGTGCATCAGTATTTTGTTATCTGATATGTATGGTACAAATCATGTTTACTAATTCTCTTGAATACAATAGATATTTAATATGTCATTAACTAAACGTTTATATGTCTGTTTACTCTAACATAATGATACAAAATCAATATGGTTTTTTTCGGATCATATTAGCCCACTGAACGGTGGTCATAAGCAAACTGTAAGCCTTCTAAAAGTTGATGAATAAATATTCCTAGATTGCAATGTTTGTGTTTGTAGAGTGTTTTTGGCCTCCAAATGCCTTGGTACGGCCGAGAGTGGAGAGAGTTGGCTCTCCCTCTCGAAATGATCTCATGCAACCACTGCTAGAGAAGTTCTACTCACTGCCTTCTCGTGGCGGGGATGTTGTTTACGAAATTGAGAGGACGAAAAGCAAATGTCCGGCACATTAACCTGGTTGGTGGATACGGAGGATCCACCTAGGGGAGTTAGAAGACCCTGGTACATGGGCTCTAGGACCCTAAAGGAAACAAATGTCGTGTGAACCTATTGTTTGTCACCGGCTACCATGAGACTGCATCTCCTGACGTTGCTCCACTGTCTTGTGGATCAGAAGTTTAGATGAGAGGTTCCGGGCGTGGCCCCCTAAGAAACCACCCGCTTCGGTTAGGGCACCCGGACAGTATCCCAGCCCTTACACCAATCGGATGAATAATGTGGCGCATATATATTTGGTTCCTCGTTGTACCAATGTTTATGTGTTTAAATAAATAAATAGAGCGTTTCTTACTTTTTACTCATTGTTTCTAACAGTTGGATAATATCCCGAAATTGTATTTTATTCCTGGTTACTGATTATTTCAGTTACATAATTAATTGATGCAGTTCAGTAACAAAGTACTTAACTGTGAAACACATGTTATTTTAGGGCTAGTTATACTACGTGTATGCTTAAAACAGTGGTTAGAATGATGTATGAACATGTAATGTGTTGGTTAAATGTCGAGTCATTTATTTTTAATGCTTACTGCCCGATAGTATCAGCAAACACCTACTAACATGTTAATTTCCTTAGTATGGGTTTGTAGCTTCCTATTGTTGTTATTCAGGACTACAGTTGGTTCGTCTCTTATGGAGTATGTGAATCCTGAGCAGATTACCTCGGTATAACTATTTGGCCTCAAGTTCTAGTAAACTTGGCTTGTGACCAACAGTGAACTGCAGAATGTCCGTTTCGCCCTACTTGGGAATCATCGACTTTACGTCCATGTATCCCAATGTCTGTATTCACATGGTGATTTGTACCTAATATATTACGCAGCAAATGGTAACGCCTTATCCATTGAGTTACTTAGTTCTGATAATTACTAACTTATTCAGTCGGTATGATGTTTATATCACTACTAGTAAGGATTTGAGCTCAGTAGATGACTGATTGAACGTTTGAAGCAAAAGGTACTGGGTTTAAGTTCCGATGTAAACATCATCACTGTAATACAAATATATTCATCTGTTCAATCCCATATCACTACTAGGCACAATTCAACTTGACTAAAAAATTTATTATTAGGTTGTGAAAATTGCTTGAATTTTATAGAAGTCATGAACTGATCTAAGTTAAACCACTAATGAAAACCTGAAAGCATTGAGCAGTCGTTTCGTCCTAGTATGACACACTTCAGCAGTGTACAATCCTTCGTGTGAGAATCAGTTCATGATTCTTATATTAAAAAATAAATAAACTTTCTACTTTAAAATTTTCAACGTAGTTTATTATAAATAAAATTAGTGTTGTCTGATTACACAAATTATTCAATTCTAATTTTCTTAAGACCTGGTGATGATGTATTAGAAATTGGATTTGGACAAGGTTATGGTATTAAATTAGCTGCTGAACGTGTTGCTCCTGTTACAATTAACCATTGGAAATCTTCACGAATTAAATTTATACTAGAAAATGCTTTTTCAACATCAACTATTAAATCCAATACATTTAAAAATGATGGTCATGTTTATGGTGTTGAAATTTCTGAATATATGCTACAAAAAGCAAAAAGGTGAATTTAATTTTTTAATTTCTATGTGTATATTATCATTGAGATACTACATAATCAATTAGTTGGAACTGATACAAGATACTTATCTATACACTAGGTTTTCTGATTTCTTACCGTATAAATTGTTCATTAGCATTACTATACATCATCAGTACTGTCATGTTATACTTAAAAGTCTACTACATATTTGAATACATAATTTATTTTGTTACTATGTATACATTATGCGCATTTTGTGAAACACAAGTTGATCATTATTTGATGATCGTTCTGTTCGATTACTCAGAAATACTAACTATTATTTACCGAATCAGTGGTTCTAAAAAATTAAACACTCATCACATGAACTAAGGGTTCTCAATTCGATTCCTGGTAGTGTACTGGGTGCTTTACAGCTTAGGAACAGTAGCCCACGTATTAGGATGTATTAGCTATCTACTGCTTTCTGGTTTTTAGTGATTATTTGACTAAGTTTGGTTTGTAATGAAAACTTATATATTCCGATAGACATTATTAAAACATTCAAGCTCATAAATCTTACCTTAATACCTCTCTCTCTCTCTCATATATATATATATATATTTCTTTGTGTTGCATCTAAAGGATTGTTAGGTTAGTACAGTCTGATTTTAGTATTCTATAAATTTCTAATTAGACAACATAAATCTCACTGATTGTATCACATGACCACAGTTCATCGACTGAGATGGTTGGGCCACGTGTTACGTATGCCTGAACACCGATTACCACGTCGTGCAATGCTAACGGGTGTTAGAGATGGTTGGAAGAGAATTAGGGGCGGCCAAACCAAAACGTGGCATCAGTGCTTGAGGACACTAACCTCTAGTCTGAGCCATGTTGGTAGATGCAGACTACTTGGTTGGGGTCCGCGTGACTTTCGCAACCGATGGTCAGAGACTCTTGGTGACATGGCTCAGAATCGATCACAATGGCGTCGGTGTATACACTCCCTGTCTTCCCTTAAACTAAGAGATTGAAATCACTTCATATCTTTCTTTCTACTAACTAATTCTTTCTTCCTGTGCTGTATCCTTATATGCAATCTTTCTCCTATATATTACCACCTTTGACCTAACCACTCCTATGAATCCGGTGTTCATCTTGCTGTGCTAATGAGGTATGGCAACCTGGACCGATGCATATATGTGCCTGGTCTTACGTTGTAGCTGACTGACTGACCACAATTCACACTTGACGGAACAAATATTTAAGGTCCAATTCAATCAGAAATACTGTTAACACAATCTAGTGATTATTAATCTACATGCTGCATAATAGATGGATGCTCTTCTGAAATGATCAGTTCAATACGAATATTCCTAAATGTACAATTAAGTATGTGTTATTTCTTGTCAAATATTCAATATCCTTCACGAGATGAAAACTTTCAGCACCATATCATAGCGTTTAAATACTAATGACAGTAAAGATAATGCAACTGTTTTACTGATTATGTGTTTATGTAATAGTTTTTGAACTACATATTCACGTTGAGAAATATGGTTAGAATCTGAATTTCAATGGTTGAAGGTCTAGTGCTCTGATCAATATATCCCTGGTCTAGTATCATGAAGGTTAATCAATATTAACGAATAACTGGTAATACTGATCAACCGTGATATAAATATTAGTATCAAACGCAGAAGTCATCCCTAAATAGTTGGTTTAAATAAAATGGTTATATCCAAATCTCACCCATAAAAGTATTCTGTCACTATTCAGCTGTATTTCTATTTCCTAATTAAGTGAAAGTTTTATAACTAATAAAATTTATTTTAGGTTACTGCAGAATGTTTGTAGAAATTGTTAAGTTTCATAGTTTACATCAACAGACTGATCTTAGCAAGACAATCATTGAAAAACAGGAAGCACCAAACATCTCTTTTGTCCCAGTAACTTCCATCAGTTTGCCCTAATACACAATCATCACTCATTGGAATTGCTGAAAATTGTCCTGCGTATTCTATCTTTGATGAGGATCGTGGATACGCATTGTTGAAGAATTCCGTACAAGAGTGAAACAGCTGTCCAATGCTTTATGATTGTCTAACAACAATCAGTCCATAATGTAAATTACCAATCTATATATGACGGATGAACTTAATTACTATCAAAATATAAAATTTATAAACTCTTAGATTAATATTTTTCTAATGTTATATCATTTATGTGTTAATTGTAATTAATTATTTCAGGAAACTATGGCCTCTTACTAAAAACTGATTGCATTGACTTACAATTAAGAAGTGTAGATCATCTGCATTATCCACCTTCCTCAATCAATGCTTGTTTTCATGTGAATTGTTTTTACTTCTGGCCTTCGTTAACGTGTTGCTTACAAAAAATTTGGAGAGTTCTACGTCCTAATGGACGTCTTGTAACTACTTTTCAAATAAATCAACTAATTGATTTACATCAACGTGGATGGTTTCAATATGGTAATCCTGATCCCTTAATTTATGTGATGGCATTAGAAACATGTGGATTTAATCAAATTGAATGGTTAAAACAACAAACAAAATTCAATTTAAATGAAACATATGACTGTATTATCGCTCACAAACCACCCATTCCATTATTAAGTGCTTCAATCTCTTAGTATGTATATTTCCTCACACTTTTCATGTTACTTTTTTTCATATCATAATTTATACATTATGTATATAGATATATAGGCTTGAGTTTTCTCCCTTTTGATAGTAAGGACTGGATTTCATAATTCTTCGCTAGTGCATGTATCACAGATTGCTTCAGTATTGCCATTTAGTTCCAAGTTTTTCTATAGTTAAATAGCGGCTAGGAGTGAAATCCAAAAGGTTTATTTCGTTTTCTTTGGGAATCATAGGTGTTAGTTATGTCCATAACTAAGCAATTAAATCGTTGTTTAAGCGACCACCACATCGACCTGGTCTGATGTGTCTGTAAACTGCTCTCCCGATCGAAGCTGCTACCTTGACGCGGTGGTCGGGCTTGCCTATCGTGATGACCCAACCGAGCTATATTGGCTGGAACATATGTTCCTGTAGGTTCTACCATGCCAGGCAGGTCGATTGTGAACGGTAAGACTAAAAGCAGCAACTCAAGGTCTGAGGGCGAAGTCGTACTGCTGACTGTAGAGGGTGTGACAGCAGTAAGGTGTTTCCTCGGACAACCAGCATGACAGCGATGCTGCCTTCCCACAAGGAGGGGTGGGGTTAGAAAAGGTCGACCCTAAAAATGTCACACCTCACCTTACCTCACGGATTTCCGTCTCCGGCGGTAAGGCCCTTTGAAGAACGGAGCTAACACGTCAAAAACCTTCCACAAAAAGGCCGTGCGCGACCGGCCTCAAGCAGTTGTCCCTTGGGCTCTGCGGTCACGCTCCCAGGTCGTCAAGACCAACACTAATCCAATTTCCTTTTCAGGTTCCTCAAGAAATACCCTTCCACGGTGTGGGCAGCCGGGAAGTGACATCAGCCCTCATACCCGTAACAGCACAAGAGACCAAGGTGGTCACATTCAAATCCTTCCTACACCTCCTAATACCTCTCTTATCTCCATGACTAACCCTCCTCACGTCTCTTTATCACCTCGCACCGCTAGGGCAAACGATTCGAGTACGTGGAACGCCATTCCTGGTCTCCTGAAACCACGCTCTAAACTACACGTAGGAGCTTTTAACGTACGAACACTTTGCCAAATAGGACAGCAGGCTTCCTTAGCTAAAACTTTAGAATCTCGCGCCATCGATGTGTGCTGCGTCTCCGAAACGCGCATACAGGATCCAAGTAGCGTCATTCATTTGACCTCACCATGCCAAAATAAAGAACCGACTCGATTTACGCTTCGTGTATCTGGAAGCCCTGATTCTGCTTCCCGTGGCCTCGCCGGCGTAGGTATAGCATTGAGTCCTAGGGCAGAACTAGCTCTCTTAGAGTGGATCCCAGTAGACAGTCGTTTGTGCGCTGTCCGACTGAACGGAACAGTAAGAATCCGGAAAGATAGGGACACTCGTCGTTGCCTCTTCGTCGTCTCTGCCTATTCTCCCACTGACTGCAGCTCAGATGATGTAAAAGATGAGTTTTACAGAAAGCTTTCGGACCTTCTCCGAAAAGCTAGGCGCTCGGATGTAGTAATAGTGGCCGGTGACTTTAATGCTCAAGTAGGTAAACTAAGCGATAGGGAAAGACACCTAGGTGGATCTTATGGTGTCGTGGCTCAAAGAACAGATAATGGCGACCGTCTGTTGCAGCTATGCTCAGATAACCGCCTGTTCCTTGCAAATACTAACTTTAAGCATAAGGAAAAACATCTTTTAACATGGCGACCCCCTAATTCGTCCCAACGTTGGACCCAAATAGATCACATCGCTATCAGCCACCGATGGAGGGGCTCGATAGAAGACTGTCGCTCATTCTGGAGCACATGCCTAGATTCAGATCATGCTCTAGTGCGAGCGCGTATTTGCTTGCGTCTTACTGGACGTAGGAAAGACGCTGCAAGGAAACCTCTTAGGGCCTACTTAATGATAGTCAAGCTAAGAGTATATTTCAGGAACAACTAGGAAAACAGTTAGGCAGCCATGTATGTGATGCCCACCCCGATGCAGCATGGAATGATATCCGAAAAGCTGTGGAAACAGCAGTGATATCTGCTAGTAAGGTAAACCAGAAGGTTAGGGAGCAACACTGGATCTCAGCAGCATCTATCGCACTGATAGATGCTCGGAAACTCATTCCACCTGGCTCTGAACATAATGAAGAGCGGAGTCAGCTTAAGCGCAAGCTGACAAGAATGATCGTGAACAGTGGTGGGTAGCGAAAGCAAGAGAGATGGAAAAGGCAGCGGCAATAGGTAATAGCAGACAATTGTTCAGACTCGTTAAGGAAACCGGAATTAGGAACCCGACCGTTAGCGAAACAATCTCAGAGAAAGATGGACATATTATTCATTCTCAATCCAGGAGATTGGATCGATGGGCAGAACACTTTAGGGATCAGTTCAACTGGCCTTCAGCCACACTTCGGTTTCCCACGATCTCCAGTCAACCTGAATGGCAAGTTAATGTAGGTCCTCCGTCCCTTTACGAAGTTGAAAAAGCCATAGGAAATCTGAAACGAGGGAGAGCAGCAGGCCCTGACAGGTTTACTCCTGAGATTTTTAAGGATGGTGGTCCAGTATTAGCAATGAGATTAACCGAGGTCTTAGGTAGAATTTGGGAACTGGACGTAATCCCATCTGACTGGTCTCAATCACTGATTGTGCCAGTCTATAAGAAAGGACAAAAGTCCTCTTGTGACAATCACAGAGGAATCAGTTTGACTAATATAGTGTCTAAAATATTAGCTTCAATAATACTTCGACGCCTAATCAAAGCTCGTGAAGAGCAGACTAGAGAAAACCAGGCCGGTTTTCGACCTGGACGTGGTTGTATAGATCAGATATTCACACTACGTCAGGTTCTAGAACACAGACACACATTCAGACGCCCCACAATGGTAGTATTTCTCGACCTTAAGGCGGCATTCGACTCTGTTGATCGTGAGGTTCTATGGCAGTGTTTGTCACTGAAAGGAGTACCAAAGAAGTACATTAACCTTATAAAGGCTCTCTACTCGAACACAACTGGTAGAGTGAGAGCTTATGGCGAACTGTCATCAGAATTGATTACCTCAAGTGGTGTTCGTCAGGGCTGTCCACTCTCCCCATTCTTGTTCAACTTTGTGGTCGACGTACTTTTAGAGATAACACTCTCCTCATCTAAATTTACAGGGGTTGAACTTCTACCAGGAGGTTCACTTGTTGACTTAGAATATGCTGATGACATAGTTTTATTTGGTGAAGACGCTGACAAAATGCAGAGTCTTCTGACCACTCTAAGCAACAATGCAAGCATGTTCGGGATGCGATTCTCTCCCTCGAAATGCAAAATGTTGCTTCAGGATTGGGTTACATCGACACCCGAACTAGTGATAGGGAGTGAAGTAGTTGAGTGTGTCGACCGCTTCACTTATCTTGGAAGTCTCATCAGCCCTTGTGGTTTAGTGTGTGACGAAATCTCAGCACGGATACAGAAGGCTCGACTAGCTTTTGCCAACTTGCGTCATTTATGGCGTAGGCGAGATATCCGTCTATCAACCAAAGGACGTGTTTACTGCGCAGCAGTTCGTTCCGTCCTACTTTATGGCAGTGAAACATGGCCGGTAAGAGTAGAGGATATTCGTAGGTTACTAGTATTTGATCATAGGTGTCTTCGAAATATTGCTCGTATATCATGGGACCATCGAGTAAGTAACACAGTTGTTAGGAAACGGGTACTAGGTAAGGATGGCAAATCAATTGATGAAGTAGTGAAACTTCATCAGTTGAGATGGCTGGGACACGTGTTACGTATGCCCAACGACCGACTGCCTCGACGTGCTATGTTCAGTGGTATAGGAGTAGGTTGGAAGAAAGCTAGGGGCGGCCAAACCAAAACATGGCACAAGTCCATGAAGTCACTGACAAGTGGACTGAGTCATGTTGGTAGGTGTAGACTACCTGGTTGGGGACCGCGAGATGATAGCAACCGATGGTTAGAGACCCTGAATGACATGGCTCAAAATCGTTTGCAATGGCGCAGGTGCATCCACTCTCTGTGTTCTCCCAAATTCTAATCTTCTGAATTCTTCATGTCCCTTTTTTCCTCTTTCCAAATTTATTTCACTGGATTATACTCTTTAAATAACATCTCCAAACCCTAATCTTCCCGATTACTGCTTATACTCTTCTACCTCTACCACTACGGGATTTGAATCGACAACTGCATCTCTGTGCTAATGTGGTGTGGCAACTCGAACTGATGTACGTACGTACGAAGTTCTACGTTGTTACTGACTGACTGACTGTAAACTGCTCTGTTTCATGTGACCTACCAATTGAAAGACACTATTATCCTATTATATTAATGTGACTCATAATTTTACTCATTTCGATAAGACACTTAATACTGGTTGGTATGTTTGTGCGTTTCACTTAATAACTGTAATTTCCTTAATTATTGTACTAATCTAATTGTTTTTATGTTCAGAAACAGACAAAATTTAAAGCCAAGTTGTCCTTGTTCTGACTATAGCTTTCACATAGTCTCTGTGCTCGCCAGTATCGCGTTTACGGTCCTAGTAGTATATCTGTAGGACAAATTAAATCCTACAATAAGTTGGATATATCTCCTTACCGATGTCGATGCCAACAATGCGACTCGA